GAATACTGAGAAACAATTTTCAAAAATAAAAATGAGAACAATCCAACATTTTTGCTTGCAATCCCTATATTTCACCCAATTTGCGACCACCTTACCAGGTGGGCAGAGGTCAGAGTGAGTCAGAAAAGTCAGCTGTTGCTCTGGTTTATCTGGTTCTTTATTGACTAGTTTATTTATACTATGCAGACTTTTTTTTCTTACTTATCTTTTTACTTAATTCGGTTTTAGAGACAATAGTAAATGCATCTTATCAACCCTCCACTTTTAAAATGTGCTTAGAATAGTATTTCAGGTCCATTCTTACAATAACGTTCTAAACATTCCTTGCGCAGCAAATTTTAAGTTACGGAGATGGTTTTATGGAGAGATAAATATAAGAGGGAGTTCTACAAGATTTACGAGCCAGATTTGCATATTTACCCCTCGTATGGAAACTCCATTACTACAAATATTAACTTGTAAAATATTAAGAGTTGACCCAAAATTTGAAATCCTAAATCACTTAATTTTCACAAAAGTTGCTCCTTGGTCCTTTCTCAATTCAAAGAATTTTTATCAAACTTTCTATGATGACCAAATTTGCCAAGCAAGGTGCAGTTTTAAAACACAATGCATGAAGTTGAGAAATAGTGCCAAGTAGGAGACGCTTTCTTTTTGAAACTCTCTTGTTGTCTTCAACAACACTGACAACATCTTTTTTTCCTGGTAGCTCTCGGCTGATGTCCATTCGATTGTAAAATGATTTTTTACAGGCAACAGTACTTTGATCGAGGCCTCTACTTCCTGCCTTTGGATCGAAAGAATTGAGAAGTCCCTTGATAGCCACAAGTGTCTTTACTCTTCGTATGGTGTGTTTACTCACACTAGGGAAAGCCTGTTTAATTCTAGCAACACTCAAAGTTTTTGGTAGAACACTTAGAGCTTTAACTATTGCCCCTTTGTCCTTACATGAGGCAATGAAGCGTTGAAGCTGCCGAATGATCTCTGGGAAAGATCAGAATTGTTGCTACGTTCTTCTAATTCTTCTGTATCTTTTCCTTCAACACTGAGAGGATCTTTAGAAAATTTCTGCAGTACGGACTTAATTTTGTGTAACACTTTATTTATTGAGGCCATCTAATTCCTTCACATCTGCGGATGGTTTCCAATCAGAACCCTCAGAATCCTTGGAACCTTTTGAGGTATCTAACTGGGGTGATGGTCTTGGTGCACCTTCTGAAGGAGGCTGATTTGTTGACTGAGAGGAAAAGCTAGCATAGGAGACGGATTTTGAGTAACAATTTTTTCACCACTCTCTGTTTTTATATTCTTAAAATCGCCAAATAGATCAATTTTGCAAGCAACACATAACTTTTGTCCCGGCACTAATGATTTTCCAAGAGGTTTGACACTGTCTCTCATTTGAAATGTTATTTCAGACAAACTTCTTGCTTTAGATGCAGAGCGTTTCCTTTTTTTCCCTTTTGGTTTACTGTCAGCGCTGTCTAGCACTTCTTCGCCTTTGAAATGTTTTCCAATTGGATCACAACATTTACTGTAGAATCCCGGGTAGTTTCTAATCCACTTGTGAGAATGAGTGTCACAAATAACCCTCAGCTTCTTGTTGAGCCCACTCCTTACACGTATTAAGCGGATGTCACTTTCTTCCATATCGTTTCGAATAGTTCTTGACTCGCTGCATACATTTTTGATTCCCGTGAACTCTAGCTTTGACTCGAACTTGCCCAGTGAACATAATGTGGCCATGATATCTACAGACGAAGAAATCATAATTGGCTGAGCGATTAGCGAAGCCCATAACTCCACTGACCGGAAAAGTTTCATTCTGTTTGTCTGTTTGT